CAGAGAAAGATATCTTCCATTCAAAGAAATGTTTAATTTCTGTTGAAGAAAAAATTGACTGATTTGATGTCAAAGAAAAATCTTGACTCGCGGCCCTACACCTAGAGAAACTTCTTCGATTTAAATAAATGTTACTTTGTTATACGGTTAAAGAAAAAATTTCTTTGATTTGAACATAATGCTTTTAAAAATCGAATAAAAGATTTATTTGATTAAAAAAAATGATGTTTAAGTTAAAGAAATGATAAACATCATTTCTTCGATTTGAACATAACTTTTTTAAATAAAATAAGAATTATTTGATTTAAAAAAATGATATTTAAATTAAAGAAATTATCACGGAGAAAAATAATTTAGAGATGGATACCTCCCAAGACTAGCAAAAATATTCTGGCTATTTTTACCGAATTTGTGATAAATTTTATCTGCCTAAAAGTAAAAAATACCGGATATTTAAGATAAAAAGTACACATTATGATTGTAGTACATCATTTCAAGTGACTATTATCTTATAGTAAGAAAAATTATACATTCAGTGTAAAGTAAATTATACTTTCAGAAAAGTAAATCGTACTATTTTCAAGATTGACGAGCACAAACAACTACGCAGTAAAGTAAATTTTGTCAATGCTAAAGAAAAAATTGTTACCAATAAGATAAGAATGATTATCATATGACAATATCTCATTTACCAGAAATGTAAAGAAAATTTCATATAAGTGAGCACATATCCCTATATGAATTTGAAATTCCATAAAGTTTACTAGAGAATTCTAGTGGTATTTTCTGTACATTTTTCTCTGTGATGTTGAAATTAAAGAAATTTTTTCTTGAACCGTAGAGCCACGGAACATTTCTTCAAATCAAAAAAACCTTTCTCTTTTTGTGACAAGAAATTCATAAAACACTATCATTTCCACACCACCTTGCGGTAGATAGCATGGCGCATTTTTTTTAAAGTGGTATCCCCAATAGGTCTAATCCACTCTTGCATTTTAATGCAAGAATTGTTCGAAGTGCCGTCCTCGTTCTTGTAAACAGATTTCGGCTCTTCGAGTAATGTTGCGCGTAGCGCGATACGCCATTTCTGGCGTAATGGTATTGAAAGCTGCGAGAATTGCTTCTCGCATCTCAGCTTCAGTACCATTACGACGGTGCTCGACTAAATGTTTGATGTGACCCCAAACGAAATAGTCGGGCACGTTAAGGTCCGGCGACCGTGCCGGCCAAATGATTGGGCCATCCACCTGTCCGGATAGCGCGTATTTAAGACGTTGCATACCTGCCGCGAAAAATGCGCAGGAGCCACGTCATGTTGGAAAATAAGTTCCTCCCGTTCGCGAAGAGGAACGTCTTCGAGAAGGGCAGGCAACTCATTTTCCAAGAAATGGACGTACGTCTCTCCCGTTAGACGTGGCGGGAGAAAGAATGGACCGATCTGAAAATTGTCACAAAAGCGATTTTAAAAAGTGCGAGAGAGAGAGAGAGAGAGAGAGAGAATTTCTTAAATCATAAAATCATTATTGTTACTTACGACTCGGTCCGCCTTTACTCCTGTCCACACGTTTATCGTCCAACGATACTAGAACGCACCTTGCCGAATAGCGTGCGGATTTTCAACTGCCCAGAGTAAATTATTCCGGGAGTTGAATATGCCATTCGGTGTAAAGGTTGCTTCGTCCGTCCACAGGATGCGGTCGGGGAAAAGGACATTCCGCCGACACTGCGCGAACAATCCTACGTTATATTCCGCCGTTAATATTTCTTAAGAAAAAAACAGCCAGAATATTTTTATAAAAATAATAAAAATACCTTCACAAAAACAGATGCGCGGCTCTTCATCTCGCGCAAGAAGTTGCTACACCCGCTGAAAGTGATACGGGTGCAATCCGTTTTCGTGTAGAGTACGGTGTACCACGTATGGGGAAATACCGAGCGTATGAGCCACACGGCGTATGCTGTTCCTGGGGTTCTCCCCAAATACTTCCAGGATTCTCTCCTCCACGTTTGCGCGAACATATGCGCGAACTCTGCCAGCACCGCGGCTTTGTCGCAACACAGACCCTGTCTTTCGTAAACGACGAATGCATCTCAAAATGACGTTTCCAATAGGATGTGCGCATTCAGGAAACCGTTCCGCGTAGAGACGGGCGGCGGCATGAGCACTTCTTCCGGCTTCACCGTACATAAAATGGACACAGTATCGTATTTGTTGCTCAAGACACACTGAATTCGCGTCCAGCGCGGGACACTAACAGATAAAATTGTTAACAAACGAACATCAACGCTGGACGCGAATGCAGTGCGGCATGCCGCCGCCCGTCTCTACGCGGAACAGTTTCCTGAACGCGCACATCCTATTGGAAACGTCATTTTGAAATGCATCCGTCGTTTACGAAAGACAGGATCTGTGTTGCGACAAAGCCGCGGTGCTGACAGAGTTCGCGCATATGTTCGCGCAAACGTGGAGGAGAGAATCCTGGAAGTATTTGGGGAGAACCCCAGGAACAGCATACGCCGTGTGGCTCATACGCTCGGTATTTCCCCATACGTGGTACACCGTACTCTACACGAAAACGGATTGCACCCGTATCACTTTCAGCGGGTGTAGCAACTTCTTGCGCGAGATGAAGAGCCGCGCATCTGTTTTTGTGAAGGTATTTTTATTATTTTTATAAAAATATTCTGGCTGTTTTTTTCTTAAGAAATATTAACGGCGGAATATAACGTAGGATTGTTCGCGCAGTGTCGGCGGAATGTCCTTTTCCCCGACCGCATCCTGTGGACGGACGAAGCAACCTTCACACCGAATGGCATATTCAACTCCCGGAATAATTTACTCTGGGCAGTTGAAAA